ATAAATCCAATAAAAAATAATAAAACCTGTACCGTTAAAAATATAAATTTTATAAAACATACTGGAAATAAAAAAAATTTAACAAGATAGAACGCTACAGTCGAGCAAGCCCGACAATAAAATAGCCTGTACTCTCCACAAAAAAGAAAAATTAAAAAAAAAAATTTAAAAAAAAATTAAATTATTAAAAAAAATGAATGAATGAATGAATTAATTAAATTAAATTAGAATACATGTTTATGTTCAGTTTTAACAGCATACATTTACATCACGTACCTATGCGTGTTTATATGCGTGTATGTATGCAGCACAAAGTTGAACCAAAGCAGCAACAACAACAACAACAGCTGCGGGCAGCGCTGCTGCATGAGCAGCGATTTTACTTATGGCTATAACTTTCTTCAGAATTGACCTATCATTTGGCACACGGACACATTAGTACTACCTAGATGTACCTACCAAAATTGATTTTAAAATTCCTAGAATTACGGAAGTTATAAGAAAAAATACGAATTGCGGGGGATTGGGGGGTGTATCAGAAAAAATAAACAAACTCGATCTGCCTAGGGCTTATAGGAACCTTGATACCAATTTTGGTTATCCTAGCTCTTGTACTTACTGAGATCCTTGCGCTCATACAGACAGACGGACAGACAGACAGACGGACATGGCTATATCGACTCGTCTTCTCATCCTGATCAAGAATATATATACTTTGTGGGGTCTGCCACGCCTCCTTCTGTGTGTTACATACATGCGCACAAAATTAGTATAGCCTTTCACCCTTTGGGTACAGGCTATACAAAAAAATTATTTTTATAGCCTTATAGTTACACTAAAAGTTAAAAATATTATTCTGAAATAATTTTCAAACCCCAATAAACTTAAATATATAAATTTTTAAAATTGCTACTCCCCAAACTTTTAACGCATATAACATATATCTTCAACTCAGTGTTTACAACCTCGTGCTTTCCGTATAAATGGAAATTCGGGAAAATAATGCCAATACCTAAGGGAGGCAATGATTTTCGGCCTATTTCCATACTACCGTTCCTCTCAAAAGCATTTGAACACCTGATGACAAACCAAATTACTAACTTCATGGTAACAAACTCACTATTAAGCGACAAACAATCGGGCTTCAGGAAAAATAGAAGTTGTATAACTTCAATATTAAAAATTACAGAGGACATTCGTGAGCAAATGGACAACAGTATGGTAACTTTTTTGACCCTTCTTGACTACTCAAAAGCTTTTGACACGGTAAATCTTACCATACTCTGCACCAAACTTGAAAGACTCTATAACTTCTCTGACTCCGCTATACATCTAGTCCAATCATACCTGTCCTGTCGCCATCAAGCAGCCGTCACCTCGTGTAGTGTTTCGTCTTTTCTGTTAATAAAACGTGGACTCCCACAGGGTTCAGTGCTAGGGCCCCTGCTATTTTCTATTTATGTTAATGACCTTCCATGTTCTGTGTCAAACTGCGATATTCACTTGTATGCAGATGATGTTCAGTTGTATGTTAGTCGTCCGTTAGATAGATTAAAAGAATGTGTACGTGCTTGTAATGACGATCTGTTGAAAATCAGTGAATGGGCGAGAATAAATGGTCTGGAAGTCAATCCGGAAAAATCTAAATGCCTGGTAATTTATAAAAAGAAAATTAACTTACTTAATCTAGAGAAATTACAACTGAAAGACAAACATATTGAATACGTAAGGCAGGCAAAAAATTTAGGGATAATCATAAATGAGACACTATCATGGCACAATCATGTTAATAATGCTGTAGGAAGAACGTATAGTGCACTTAGGTTTCTCTCTTTGACACAGAATTTCCTCCCAGCCAAACTCAAGCTCCTTATTGCTAAGACATACTTGATACCCTCACTATTTTATGGAGTAGAATTATTCGGAAACTGTGACGCCGTAAGCCAGAACAAACTAAAAGTAGCCTTTAACAGCATTGCACGTTATGTCTTTGATATTAAAAGAAGAGAATCCATAACGGAATACGCAAAACTAATTTTTAACTTGACTCTTAACTCCTGGATTAAACTTAGGACCCTAATTTTTATACACAGAACCATTACTCGAAAAGAGCCGAATTATTTGTATGACAAAATTTCATTTACCTCATCAAGAAGAACAAATAATATAGTCTGCATAAGATATAGATTATCTTGTTCCGAAAAACACTTTTTTACACTTTTTTATATTTGCTTTTTTATATTTGCTGTTCGTCTGTGGAACGAGTTACCGCATGGCTTAAAAACAATCAGCAATGAAACGCATTTTAGAAATAGAATTCATGCGCACTATCAAGAAAATACCTAAATGAAATAAAGTAAGAGCACAATATTAATACATTTACACTCAGTAGGCAACATTTTTGTTCTGATTATAAAATAATAATAATATTAAAAATAAGAACCAAATACACTTTAAATTTATGTATAATTAAAATGTATCTAATATAAATAGGTTAAGTACGCTAATGAAATCACTTGAATTTTAATAATATCTAAGGAAATTTAATTAATGTGACTAGTGCATTAATTTATAAGAATCATTCTTGTAGCACTAGGAATAAATAAATAAATAAATAAATAATAAAAAAAATAATATTAATACAATAAATTCTAAACTCAATAATATAGAAAGTAAATGTTTTCGATTAGAAGCAAAACAAAATACTATAAAGCTATAATAAATAAAATTATAGGTAAACCAAAATATAAAATCATAATCATTAGTTTTAATAGTTTAATAAAAACATTGGTCTTGTAAATCAAAAATAAGATTAATTCTTTTAAAACTTCAAGAGAAAAGAAATTTCTTTTTCATTAATCCCTAAAATTAATATTTTATATAAACTACCTCTTGACATTCTGCAACTATTATTAATTTCTATAATTTTTATTACATCAATTATTTTCATAAATATAATTCACCCGCTAGCCATAGGATTAACATTATTAATCCAAACGGTATTAATTTGTTTAATATGTGGATTAATAACTTTTTGATACTCTTATATTTTATTTTTAGTATTTTTAGGAGGAATATTAGTTTTATTTATTTATGTAACATCACTTACATCAAATGAAATATTTAATTTATCAATTAAATTAACAATATTTTCTTTAATTTCAATTATTTTAATAATAATAATTTCACTAATTATTGATAAAACATCGATTTCAAATATATTTATAAATAACAAAATATTATCAATTATTAATATTAAATCTTATTTTTCAGAAAACTCTTTATCATTAAATAAATTATATAATTTCCCAACAAATTTAATTCCTTTTTTATTAATAAATTCCCTACTAATTACATTAATTGTTGTAGTAAAAATTACAAAAATATTTAAAGGACCTTTACGAATAATAAATTAATGAATAAGCCCTTACGAACTTCCCACCCTTTATTTAAAATTGCTAATAATGCATTAGTAGATTTACCAGCTCCTATTAATATTTCAAGATGATGACATTTTGGTTCACTTTTAGGACTATGTTTAATCATTCAAATTTTAACCGTGTTATTTTTAGCTATATACTATACAGCAGATGTAAATTTAGCTTTCTATAGTGTAAATCATATTTGCCGAGATGTAAATTATGGTTGATTACTTCGAACTCTTCACGCTAACGGAGCATCATTTTTATAGCCTGTACCCAAAGGGTGAAAGGCTATACTAGTTTTGTGCGCATGTATGTAACACACAGAAGGAGGCGTGGCAGACCCCACAAAGTATATATATTCTTGATCAGGATGAGAAGACGAGTCGATATAGCCATGTCCGTCTGTCTGTCTGTCCGTCTGTCTGTATGAGCGCAAGGATCTCAGTAAGTACAAGAGCTAGGATAACCAAAATTGGTATCAAGGTTCCTATAAGCCCTAGGCAGATCGAGTTTGTTTATTTTTTCTGATACACCCCCCAATCCCCCGCAATTCGTATTTTTTCTTATAACTTCCGTAATTCTAGGAATTTTAAAATCAATTTTGGTAGGTACATCTAGGTAGTACTAATGTGTCCGTGTGCCAAATGATAGGTCAATTCTGAAGAAAGTTATAGCCATAAGTAAAATCGCTGCTCATGCGCTGCCTCTGTCGGCAGCGCTGCCCGCAGCTGTTGTTGTTGTTGCTGCTTTGGTTTAACTTTGTGCTGCATACATACACGCATATAAACACGCATAGGTACGTGATGTAAATGTATGCTGTTTAAACTGAACATAAACATGTATTCTAATTTAATTTAATTAATTATTTTAATTAATTAATTCATTCATTTTTTTAATAATTTAATTTTTTTAAAATTTTTTTTTTTAATTTTTTTTTTTTTTAATTTTTCCTTTTTGTGGAGAGTACAGGCTATTTTACAGTCGGGCTTGCTCGACTGTAGCGTTCTCTCTTGTTTATACTCTGTACATGAAATGTACACGAGTATATTAGGTTTGCGCGAGCTGAAAAATGTAACAGGCAGAAGGAGGCGTGGCAGACCCCACAAAGTATATATATTCTTGATCAGCATGACAAGGCGAGTCGATTTAGCCCTGTCCGTCCGTCTGTCCGTCCGTCCGTATGATCACCTAGATCTCAGAAACTATAAGAGATAGAGACACCAAATTTTGCACAAAGATGCCTTATGTGTGTATTCTATACGAGTTTATTTTATTTTTTTGATTACCCACCCCCCCCCCCCCCCCCCCACTTCCCCCCTATGGGGGAAGCGCAACGACTTTTGAGTTTAGAAATAAAAGCACATTGTTTGAACTATATTCACGGCATACCGCCGCCTCTTTCTTATTGGGTCGCTTTAGCACTTTGCGGTGCCTAATAAACATTAAAACATCGACTCTGGCCGGCGAGTATACCCGCGGCAGAGTAAACAACATTACAAGTGGCGCCCGAGCAGGGACCCCAAAGATTGAGGTTTTATCCCACCAAGTAGAGAGAGAGAAACGCGTGGATTTACGATGCTACGAATGAGCTGGATACGTGCGCTGCGGAAGGAAGAGCTCAGTGCGGTGTTGCGTGAGTTCGAAATTGAAGAGACCGGCAACGTGGAGGCGTTGCGGTCGCGGTCGTGAAGTCGGCCAAGGAAGAGTACCGACCCCGCCTGGAAGAGCTGGCGGCGTATCATGAAAACACGTCATCGCGTACCGCAGCAACAGACCAGTTGAGCCCGGTGCCTGGCGCACAGCTGGGAGTCCTGAAACAAGAGGACGTACGGGAAGGTCTACTCGTCGCGATAGAGGCAAATACGACACCAACCGTGGTCCCGGTGCGAGCCGCGTCGCCGACTCCAGCGCGGGCGACATCGCCAACTCCAGCGTCAGTGCCGACCATATCGGTAGCGGTCGCGGCCTCGATTGCAGCGTCCGCAGCCAAGCCCACTGCAACCGCAGCGGCACCCCCAGCGACTCCAGGGCCCTCCACGGCAGACCTGTCCCAGACCATTGCTGATTCATTGGCATCGCTGGCGCGGTACACCCACCGATTGGCCCAGACCGTGGAGGAAGGTTTCCAGAAACTGTCGAGCCAGACCGCCTCCCAGACTGCGCTCCCACCACGTCTGCTGCTCCTGCTGGTGGTGCACCTGACGATGATAACCCAACAGCACCGACTCCAGCGCCGCCACTCGCGAATGCCGGGTCCAGGGTGCATCAGAGACACCTAGAGAGTATGTCCGAGCGATGCGACGGCTGATGCGCAGCGCGGAGATGACCGTACAGGAGCAGCTGAGGCTCGTCCACGCCAACGGGCGAGTCCGAGGCTGGCGCAACGCCTGCGGCGGAGGCAGAACCGCAGGGCCCGGCATGCAGCTTTGGGGACCAACGCGCAGGCTGGGCCCACTATAGCTGCCCACCTAACGGAGCAGCAGCCCCAGACGGTAATCAGGTTCGGATGAAAGACGAGCGTCCCATCAAGCAGCGGCGCCTGGAGGATGTGCATCGACTATCGACAGCTGATTTGCGGAATGGATACTGGCAGATTCCAATGGAGCGCCAAAGCCAGCGATACACAGCATTCACGGTGCCAGAACGCGGGCTGTTCCAGTGGCGAGTGATGCCGTTTGGCCTGCACTCGGCTCCCGCGACCTTCCAGAGGACGTTGGATAGCGTCATCGACCCGGACATGGCACCGGACGCGTTTGCGTACCTCGGCGACATAGTGGTGGTTGGCAGGACGTTCGAGGAACACTTGAACAACTTGCGCGAGGTGTTCCGGCGACTGCGGGCGGCCATACTGCGAATAAATCGGGATAAGTGCGAATTCTTTCGTAAATCCATTAGATACCTGGGGCATCTAATGACGGAGGCGTGCATCCAAACGGATCCGGAAAAGGTGGCAGCCATCCACGAGCTGAAGCCGCCATCAAATCTAAAGCAACTGCGGCAGTACATCGGGATGGCATCGTGGTACCGACGCTTTGTGCCAAATTTCGCCACAACGGTCGGGCCACTCACCGAACTGTTGAAAAAGGGCTGCAAGTGGAGTTGGGGAACAATGCAGCAGGAGGCATTTGAATGCATCCAAAGACAGCTCATGGAAGCGCCGGTGTTAGCGTGCGCCGATTTCACACAACGCTTCTGCCTACAGACTGACGCCAGCGAGTATGGGCTGGGCGCGGTTTTGACACAGAACGTAGACGGCCAGGAGCACGTGATTTCCTACGCCAGTAGGAAACTGCAGAAAGCAGAGGTCAACTACAGCGCCACGGAGAAGGAGTGTCTGGCCATTGTTTGGGGAATCCGAAAGCTGCGACACTATCTGGAGGGCTATCGTTTTACCGTCGTGACCGACCACTTGGCCTTGCGTTGGCTCAACTCGATCGAGAGCCGCACCGGCCGCATCGCACGCTGGGCCTTGGAGCTACAGCAGTACACCTTCGATGTCCAGTACCGAAAAGGATCCTTGAACGTGGTGGCAGGTCGCGCACGCGTGGAGCCAGAGGCGACGCCAACCTGCAAATGGTTAATCGGCTGTCCCGATTACGCCATGCAGAATGAAAGGCTATACAGACGCATCGCCCACGTGCTGGGAGAAGATGAGGTGTCGCCATGGAGACTATGCGTGGCCACGCCTTTACGTCAGGAGGTGCTGAGAGAACGACGACGCTACGGCGGGCCATATGGGAGTACGTCGAACATTAGCGCGAGTCGCAGACCGTTACCACTGGCCTGGGATGTATCGTGATGTCGCAAAGTATGTGCGCCAATGCTTGCTGTGGCAACGTTACAAAGCGCAGCAACAACTGCCAGCCGGCAAGATGCACTTCAAACCAGCGGAGGTGGCGTGGGACGTCGTCTGCGCCGATTTCGTAGGGCCGCTGCCGCGGTCCAAACGGGGCAACGCGTACCTACTGGTCCCTGTGGATAAGTTCAGCAAGTGTGTAACGTTGCTCTGGCCCGGGTATACTCGCCGGCCAGAGTCGCTGCAAAATTCTTGGTTTGGTTCCCCAGGAATAAAGCAAGCCCGCAGTTACCATTCAAATATGATGCTCGCCGTGTATACAATTTGTCTTTTATTTCCCAAATGTCACAAATAGGAGGGTGCGCTTCAATGCGCGTTCGTTTCCCTCTCCAACCGAACTAACTCCCAAAAACTCTCTTCAACTTACAACTACTTACACCTACTTAAAAACTACTCATCGGCATCGTGACGACGCGTTGCGTAGCTGGCAGCTGTGCGTCGTTACACCTCCCCCTTTCCCCAAAGGGTCGAACGGCCCGATCGATGGTGTTTTCAAATTTTGTTAGCATCGCGCCATAATCGAAAGGCAGATGTGTAGCAGCTGGGTGGCAGCGCTGCCACCCCTCGCCTTTGACCACCTGTCGACGCCACCTGTAACTTCACAGTCAGCTGCTCGCGCTGTCATTCTGTCGCATCGTTGTCTTCGCTCTCCATTTCCGCCACGTGTTTCAATTTCAAATTCTGGGGTGCGGAATCTGTTGGTGATTGCTGGGCAACGAGCTGCATCTCGCAAAAGTACTACCTATACTTTCCAGCCTGCATGGCCTGCCGCTGATGGACTACCTGTAGCACGCAACGGCTAATTATGTGCCAGCGGCATGCACGGTGTACATCTTAAACTGCGTCGACTGCAACCAGTGCACCGGGCCTCCCATCGGTGCCGTTGAGGTATCATTTGTGCTATATGTGGCTGAAACGTAATAAAATTCGATTATGTCTGCAGGATTACGTGGACGTTATTCTTTAGCTAGAAGCGCCTGCTTTGGTTGCCCCGACGCTTGACCGCTGGCCTGGCTGTGTTGGCGTTGCCGCCATGGCTGCCGCTGCCTCCGCTGTTGTCGTCACCTGTTGCCGCGGCTGCCGGCGTCGCCACTACTGCCTTCATCAACGTAGCCGCAGCCGCTGCTGCATTGGTGCCGCTGCTGTTGAAGTTGCTACTGCTGCCGTTGCTGCGGCCGCTACTATCGTGCCGCTGCCGCTTACGCTGTTGCGGCTGTTGTCGTGGCTGTTGTGATGGCTGCTGTTGTGGCAGTTGAGACATTGTCAGTGGCATGGTCGTCATACCAGCGCAACTGCCGCTGTCGCTGCACTCGTCGGCGATGCTGACGTCTGCATTCAGCGCCTTCAGATCTCGCACATGTGCTGTTCTACCTCTGCCGCCTGCTACTGGTCGTAAGCGCACTATGACTGGGGATATAAATGCACGCACCGTGAATGGCCCATCGAAGCGAGGCCGCAAACTGCTCGGCTGCGTTGGACAGGTGATGTTGTCGCACGAGCACCTCGTCGCCCAGTTTGGGTCGCCACTCGCGTCTCCGCAGATTGTACTGGCGTGCCTGATCCTCGCTGGCCACCCCTTGGTTTCTTCTTGATATACGGGCAATGCACTGTACCAGTGTCGCGTGTGTTTCTGAGCTACCTGGTACTGCCTCAGGGGCGTCTAGATCCCTGCCGTACAGTGTGCGTGGATGCCTTGGTTCTCTCCCAAATAGGATGAAAGCCGGTGAGTAGCCCGTTGCGTCTGAAATTGCTGTATTAATGGCCAATTGTGCTTCCGGCAGTTGTTCGTCCCACGTGTTGTGCTGCCCGTCCGCCAGCTGAGCAATCAATGTTTTGACCGTTCTATTGGTCCGCTCCGTGGGATTCTCCTGAGGTGTATATGGTGCCGTCAGTTGTTGCTGTATGCCTGCCTCAGCGAGGAACTGCTTCAGCGCGCGGCTCGTAAACTGGGCTCCCTTGTCTGTAATGAGCTTTCTTGGTGTGCCAAACCGTGCCAGAATCCGCTCTCGCAAGGCCAGCTTCACTGCCGCTGCCGTCGCCTTGCGGATGGGGACCAGTTCTGCCCATTTACTGAACTTATCGACCAGGACCAGTAGATACGCGTTGCCTCGTTTGGACCGCGGCAGCGGCCCCACAAAATCGGCGCAGACGACGTCCCACGCTGCCTCCGCTGGTTTGAAGTGCATCTTGCCTGCCGTCAGCTGTTGCTGGGCTTTATAGCGTTGACACAACAGGCACTGGTGCACATACTTCGCTACGTCGCGATACAGACTAGGCCAGTGGTATCGGTCTGCAACCCGTGCACAGGTTCGGCGTACTCCCATATGGCCCGCCGTTGCGTCGTCGTGGCATTCTCTAAACACCTCCTGTCTTAAAGGCGCGGCAACGCATAGCCTCCATGGTGACACCTCATCTTCTCCTAGCACGTGAGCGATGCGGCGGTACAGCCTGTCGTTCTGTATGGCGTAATCTGGGAACTTGTTGGGACTCTCCAACACCGCTGCCGTCAGCCGCTGTAATCATTTACAAGTTGGTGCTGCCTCTGACTCCACGTGTGCACGGCCGATCACCTCGCGTGGTTGTCGTGACAGTGCGTCGGCCACCACGTTCAAGGCTCCTTTTCGGTACTGGACATCGAAGGTGTACTGCTGCAGCTCCAAAGCCCAGCGTGCGATGCGGCCGGTGGGGCTCTCAATTGAGTTAAGCCATCGCAACGCCAAGTGGTCGGTCACGACGGTAAAGTGATAGCCCTCCAGATAGTGTCGCAGCTTTCGGATTCCCCAAACAATGGCCAGTCACTCCTTCTCCGTGGCGCTGTAGTTGACCTCTGCTTTCTGCAGTTTCCTACTGGCGTAGGAAATCACATGCTCCTGGCCGTCTACGTTCTGTGTCAAAACCGCGCCCAGCCCATACTCGCTGGCGTCAGTCTGTAGGCAGAAGCGTTGTGTGAAATCGGGGCACGCTAACACCGGCGCTTCCATGAGCTGTCTTTGGATACAATCAAATGCCTCCTGCTGCGGTGTTCCCCAACTCCACTTGTGGCCTTTCTTTAACAGCTCGGTGAGTGGGCCTACCGTTGTGGCGAAATTGGGTACAAAGCGGCGGTACCACGAGGCCATCCCGATGTACTGCCGCAGCTGTTTTAGGTTGGCCGGGGGCTTCAGTTCACGTATGGCTGCCACCTTTTCTGGATCCGTCTGTATCCCGTCTTCTGTCACCAGGTGCCCCAGGTAGCGTATGGACCTGCGAAAAAACTCACACTTATCTTGATTTACCCGTAGGTTTGCCGCTCTCAGTCTTCGAAACACCTCCCTCAGGTTACATAGGTGTTCTTCGAATGTCTTCCCAACCACAACTATGTCGTCCAGATAGGCAAACGCGTGTGGAGCCATATCCGGGCCGATGACGCTATCTAGCGCCCGC